ACTTTTACTTGGAGTCAGTGGCGTTGCCACTTCGAGGTTTGTATAGTTCATTCAGGGAGACTATAATTTATAGAGGAACTAATCAAATACAAGGTAAATCTTGTATTTTGACACGAACTTCATTCGTCCATCTGGCTGAATGTCATTTCGGCACTTCAGCTGATGCCACTTCGTGATAAAAACTAAATCTAGTTCATAATCCTAACCTTCAACTGTAAATCACAATTCTAATTCCTCACCCTGCTTTATAACTGTCATGTGGTCCTAGTCAACAGGTGGACAGTATCTGGATCACTTCAGCGTCGCCCAAAGATCGTCCGTAAATTGAAGTCTCACCATCGATATTCACCACCCAGTCACATATCGTAAACTGAGACTCGTTCATACGGGTTGGCTCCATATACACAGTGCAAAACAAGGATTTAAATTCCCACTAAGTGGCCTGTTTTCTCGGAAAAAATATTTTTAGAAAATCTTTTATACAGATCCTTTGAGTTAGTCATTACCACTGCTCTTGATATTCTTATCCAGATCTATCTATACAATCTCCTTGCTTGTTTGTAAAGTAATAAGTTCTCTCTTTGGACCTGATACATATTACGTTTTAAAAGTGAGCCGCAACTATAATAATAACAACGCTGAGAAGTTTTTCCATCCGATATCGGGTTTAATTTGACAATTAATGACAAACTTTAACGACTCAGATCATATTATAAGCATGATTGAACTTCATAGAACAAATGGTAGGATTGTAAGGAAAAATCACTGTCTATATAATTATTGTAACAGCCAAGACGTGCTATTAACAATGGCAGTACCGAAATATGGGCTTCCAAATCGTTATGTAGAAAAATTCATATATAAACAAATTCAAGTATTTTCCGTTGACATTTCCCTAGGTAATAAACTATTCGTAAAATGTGTGATGAGTATGGCGGTGCAGATGACTTTGAATCAGATGAAGAGCCTCTGGACGAGGTACCAGAAGAGGATTTAGACACAAAACCTGGTAAGTCCCACATACTTTGTCATAACGCGACCCAAGGATATCATGTTTTTTCATCTTTCAAACTTCTCATTTGTTAGTGCTGATATTTAACTAATCAGTTGGCTAGAGTTGTTTACCACTTTGTCTAATACAAATTATGGTATGAATTTTTCAAATGGATTAAGTGCTGTCAATCCATGGAGCCATTAACTCCCGTTGGTCGATCTCGATAGTTACAAACTTCTTGGTAGTAATAGTTCAAGTTCTTAGATTACGCGCAATAACGGTTGCGTATTTTATTCTTTGCGACCAGAATACAGCAGTACACCTCTCGAATCGATCTTTTTCCGTACAGCCTAGACCCGGTGTGTTTCACTTATTTCAAGCAATGCTAAACTGTATCTCCTCATTTCCGAAGCTATTTTACCGGTTCTCTCAGTCTCCCACATTGTCTGAACATTCCGTGTACCTATGATAACTGTTTCTCTGGTTAATAGAAGGAACATCAGCTTTGTGGCTTCCGAAAAATCCCGGCTTTCACCATGAAACGTCCCAATTCTTCTTCGAGATTTTCTCGACCTCATCTCTGCTTGACCGTCATTGAAATTATTACTACTACTGATACACATACATTATCATAAATAATCCCAATGGTACGTGAAATTGTTGATAATTATATGAATTTTGGACAGGTAGCTGAAGATAATTCGTTGAACTTAAGTGCATTTGTAGGACATATTCAATGGCTAATGCTTTCACAAGCAATGAACCAATTATTTATATTCTTACATCGTGGTTGATAGTTCGTAAAACTGAATTGCAGGTATTAAGTCTTGAATAAGTCAGAAACTGTCTTATTCAAAGTAAAATTATTATAAGTCGTTGAAATCAAGAAAGCTAATGTGAAGCCGTATGTAATTTACTCCGTTTCATATCAAATATATCATCTTACCACATGCTTTTGTGTTCTTCAGGAGTATTGAACAGTATTGTCGTGACTGTGATAATATGACGAGTCAGCGTAAATAAAGATGTGACCTCCACAAAAGATCATGTCGATCTGATATCATATGTTGACAAATGCATAACGATTTAAACGGTATTTGAATACTTCGCTTTTCTTTGCAAGTATATTGCAATTAGCTGACGGATTTCTACTCGTACACAAAATCAGCAATGCAGTGAAAGCAAGTGTTGGTCAAACTGAAGTAGAACTAATTTACGATGCAGTGCTGAGACTCCCACGAGAATTCATACATCCATATATCTATCATCAATATTCCTTTAATTCTTGAACGAAGTGTCGTTCCTAACCTTTTATTCCCCGATGCTGTTTGCCTTCTTAGACTTCCGGAGTTCTATATTTCGTCACTATTAATTTCGATTTCTCTTCCCTTATGGCCTGCTTACTTACCTTTCTTGCTTCGTTAATGTAAGGTGCTGCAGATTCGACATATAACCCTCTGTCTTCAATACCGTTGCCTCTTTCTTGTGATGAGAAACAATTCACGGAAATTCCATGGACTATACAGATGATGTAGTTAACTTATTCAAAGATTTACATGTCTAACAATACCTATCTTACTCGACTTATCATTAAGCTTTGCACAATCCTGTAATAAAGCAGGTGTTCATAACTCGAAAATGTCTAAACCATACGTCCGGCACTTTAACCAGGTTGGTGAACGCAAAGGTTCCACCTAGGTGAGTTGGAAAACTCTGATTCCAAACCAATCGAGCACATGGGCTCCAGAGACAAATGGAGTATGAACCTATTATTGGTGCCCGGCTACCATGGGACTGCACATCTTACGTTGCTTCACTGTCTTGTGGATCAGACTTTTAAGTCAAAGGCTCGTGGTGTGACCCCCTAAGAAAACCACCTGCTTCGGTTTCGGCACTCAGGCGTTATCGCAGCCGTCAAACGACCTGAGCAATTTATTTGGTGCCTCATTGTGTGTGTTTAAGTAAATATATAAACATCAGTAGGTCTTCCTGAGTCTATCAATATTGTGGAAAAACTGTTTCTCCGCAACCCTGATTACTTTTTAATGTGTAACGGGCTTGCACTTCACATCTACATAGCGTAATTACTTCCTAAACAATGTACTCGTGGTTATTAGATTCTTTGTTTAGTAGTACAGTTTATGTGATATCTTCAAACTAGTCTGCAGAGATTGAGTACACACTAAAATTAGTTGTATAATATACATTTCTAGAGATTTTACAGAGGCCCGTCACTAAGCGTTTGCATATTATTTTATAGAAGGTGTCACGTACATAACAGCTGATGAAGCGCCGCGCTTATCAGGTCAAAATATGGCTGCCCCAGTAGAAAAAAGTAAACGGATTACTACTCCATATCTTACGAAATATGAGCGTGCTAGAGTTTTAGGTGCACGAGCTCTGCAACTATCAATGTCTGCTCCCGTTATGGTTGAACTGGATGGTGAACGAGATCCTCTAAAAATTGCTGAAAAGGAATTAAGGGCTAACAAGATACCTATCGTTATTCGACGTTTCCTTCCTGATGGGAGTTTTGAAGACTGGAGTTTAGATGAACTTATTTTGACAGAATAAATCCATATTTTTTGTTTCATGCGTGACTTGGATTGTTCGGTACGGCTGATAATCATGTCTTTCGTCAGCAATATTATCCGGTTTCTCTAAAAGGAAACTTGGTTTATTTTCATGGTTAGTCATAATCAATCTACACATGAGCACAAGCGTAATTTAGTTCAAGTTGTTACAACACATTAGCACGGTCAAATAAAATTAACTAGCTGTGTAGTAAATGAGACAAAATAATGGATTAGGAATGATACGGAGAAAGGCTGAAAGCCTTAACACAACTATGGTAGCCTATGGAAATGGAGCAAAAAGTCCCGTAGCTCAGACTATTGCACTCTATAACTTACATTGTGGAGTTGTTGACTAATTCTAGGGGAGTTTTTAATGAGGAAGTTCAGTGGGAACAATTAAAACACTTAACTAAGTATGTAGTTTGAAGTCAAGTACATAAAGGCGTCCCTACGTACTCAATTGTACTGAACGTATTCGCATGTGCACCTGTTGTTTATCAAGTCAGTCATCTTCAGCGTACGACCAGGCACATATATGCATCGGTCCAATTTGCGACACCTCACTAGCACAACGCGATGAACACCAAATTCATAAAGTAGTTACTTCAATGATAGTAATGTATTTAAACAAAGATCGCGTATAAGGATATAATACAGGAAGAAGGAATTAGTCCATTAAAAAAAGGTATAAAGCCATTTTAATCACATGGTTTAAGGGAAGACAAAGAGTGTATGCATCTACGCCCTTGTGATCGATTCTGAGCAGTGTCGACCAGAGTCTCCAACCACTGGTTACAATGGTTGCGCGGACCCAGACCAAGTAGTCTTCAATTCCTATTGTCAAAAAAACACGAGTGTTTCGTGTTCACACCAGAAACCAGAAATGGTCCTAGAACTTTCAGTGTCGTATGCAAACGCTTAAACTGTAGACCATTGATCAGTTCATAATTTCAATGAAACATATTGGCCCAAGAACGAATCTGTTTGTGAACTATAAAACAACAACTACAGAAACCTGCGTGACAAACAAACTTCGGAAAGCGTAATGACTACAACTCATGGGTCTAAATAACTTTTGCACAAGTGGAAAAATGCGGATTCACACAACAAGGTCCTTATTTTATAATTCTTACTAGAGTAAGTACATTACTGTAAAAAGTATAAGTCGTTTGAAATCATAAAAGGTTCATTCATCTATCAATTCACATAAATTGAATTTTTCGACGTTGTACTCTAATTTGGAAATCTGATGTATTATAAACAGCGGCACTTTGCAAGCATTAACATCTGCTGTACCATGCTAAGAAAATAAATTGACACTTACAAAAAGCTCAGAAGTTCACGTTTATAACAGCTATAAAAAAAGTAAAAATCCATAAGATCAAGCATTTGTTTTCATACTATACATCTAGTTTTCATTGAGTTAAAGACTACATAGACTTCAAAGAATGATCACGGAAGGCCATACAAGTGATTGCTCTCTGATGTCCTTTGTATTCAACGGGTACTTCACCTGTCTCCAAATTCCATAAGCGAGCAACTCCATCGGAAGTCGCAGTGAGCAAAAAGCGAGAGTCTGCCGAAAATGCACAATCCCAAACCCAGTGATGACCAGATGGACTACCCTGTCGCGTTGTAACTAAACTGAAATCAGCAGTCTTTAAAAGATTAAATTTCCCATCACCTCCCCCAGTAGCTATCAATGTACTGTCCGGCGAAAATTGCACTTTCAGAACATAAGTTGGATGTACTTTCTGCCGATGCTGTTAGAAAAAAAATTAGCATCAAGTTTTAGTAAACATAACAAGAAAAGGTATTGTATTGTAGTCTAACGCCTATTGATGTATATTCTCGATGTTAACTAGAAATTAAAGACCACATAAGGCGACTACTAAAAATCTTAAACCAAGAAATATCGCTTAAGTTCTTTCTCAAAAATAAAAGAACTTTGGTAGTATAATAAAATCTATCTAAACGCTTCTGATATTTCAGGGGATAGCAACAAGAGTTCATACATTATCAGAACGAGCTAGTTGCCCTCGTTTATAATACTATCCCAAACAATATTATTAGCCAAACACGTTTTTGCCTCCATTTCCACTCCTAGCGTCGACATGCGACATAGAAGTAGCGGGATCATAATACAGATATGTTGAGGCAACTGAAACCGGCATCCTAAGATTGTTGCCAATCGAATTGCCACCAATCAAATTGTGTTGCTATCGAAATAATCCTTTGGATATACTGACGATCAAAACACAAAGTTGGCGAACAGATATAGGAGCAGGATCCCGTTTGGTGATGCCGCCTTAAACCCGATATACTACAGATAGACTGACATCATGTAAGTGGCTTAAGCTACTCGAGTAATTATGATGCGTAGAATGACTTCATCTGCTATGCCACCATCAGCACTTACATGAGATGAGTGCAGAAACCATTTTCAGTGTTTTTCGAAATTGCTTCGCATTTTGAAATTATTTATTCACATGAATTGTTAACCGATTATATGTGATTTGAACTAGATTATGTATATAATGATAGTGTCATACCCAAACTGGAGATAGAAAAGCCCATCATCATTTTCTTATAAGGCTGCAATCGACAAAGAAATTCTAGGGTGAGAATTGGTAATTCCTTTTAACCTTACTGCCGACTTGAAACAATAAACAGGTGGTTGTATGTCATAACTTTCCTTAAGATATTTTACTAAAACGCGCAAAGTATGTTGACAAAATTTCTGACCAATCTTTCTACAACAGATGATCTCAGAGCATAATCCTATTTAACGAATAAAAGGAGGCCGATATAAAGAATCTTAGTAACTATTACATTATAATAAGTGTCTCTAAGAATTCGGTGAAAAGTGAGAACATGATCAATACAATCTAAACTAAGACCAGTGTGCTGCTCGCGAGTTTGTATTTCATGAGTTTCGCACAACCTATTGAATATGATGGTAGCCAATATTTTAAAGGGACTTGAAAGTACGCTTGTACTCCAATTATTGTCGGACACATTAATGTAACCCATTTTTAAAGATGGATATGGGAATCGCCTTGGTCCTAGGATGAATGAACACTGGTATCGGAAGATGATGAATGATTCGGCCCGTTATTCTGACTAGAAGTTCGCTTTTGTCGTTAAGTAGGGTAATGTTATCTAATCCTGATGAATTGTAATGCTTAAGGACCTCCGCTTCATCGTGGGAATAGACAATGACACGAAGGTTTGACCGACCAGTTTTACCGCGCTTGAGAAATCTTCGAAGACTCCCAACTGGTGAGCTATTAACTTTATAGATTTCTTTATTGAGATGTGTTTTATAATACCAGTCCGCTAAGATAAGTCAAGACAGCTTCTAAAAGCTTTCAGATGCAGTTAGTGCTTTAAAATCGTTAGCACACTTCGACGTTTTGTCGTGCTTACGATCCACCAGAGTAAACTGATATGCTATAAGTAATCGAGAAGCCAGCGTAAATAAATGAGACGTTTTGTGAAGGCATAAGTGAATCTACTTACTATTTACTTGGGATACTGTTGATGTAACCATACCTCATCTACACTTCAAAGCAATTTAGCAACTAAGCTAAAGATTATATTTTATTGTGATGGTGGGTAAAGCCAACTTCTCGACAGCAATCCGTTTAAGACAATTTTTCTTATAATGCCTGTGAATGCGGAGTTGTGAGAGAAGAATTTTCACCTTTGGTCGTATCAGAATATCTGAGGCGACTGAAGTACGTAGAGTGAGGTTCAAACCTGTTACCTATATGCTGAAAACCAAGCGGTCTTAACACCAGATCACCGTCTATATTCAGGTCCTAACCATTGGACTTTCTATACCTGAAATAAATAACCATCTTCAAGTATTTTTGGAGTTAACTTATCAGGTGCTGCTGCTCCTTTTCATCACAAGTTAAATATGATCTTTTTGACGTCACTAAAAATTGCGAGATTTGTGTCAATCTCCCATTAAAGTTACTATGGGATGGTGTATTACTGGAGACTAACTGGATGTTAATTAGTGTTTTCTTCAAAACGCCCCACCCAGTACTGTAGTTCCATCCTTGTCAGAAAGGTTTATGCCAACTAATTTACAGCCTTTCTTTCTCTAATGAAAAGAGATAGATGTCCAGTAACGGTTTCACATGCTGCCGCTGTCCTTTTTATTTCTCTTATTTCCGTCTCCCGAAGTTCCTCACAATCGATGGGTAGACATGACCCAATGATTTATCAATGAAACGTAGGACAACGACTTCTTTTAGCCTTTCTTAAATATTTGATTTGAACCCAGGGACTGAAGTTCAACGTTCTATCCAGTGATTGTTGCCTCCACTTTCTCAAGGTAGTAAATAAAATTAATTGATTTATATTTCAGTCGCGACAGTTATTTCAAATATAGTTTCGACGAATGATTTATCCTATTTCTGTCAAACCATTCGTTCAAATATTGACGAACGTTCATATAGTTATTTGGTTTGCGTTGTTATAAAATATCACTGTCATGGATATAGCTACTTCGTTATCATCACAATACAATATATAGGAATTAACATATCGCCCATAAACGACTTAGTTTTTAGTTTTTTTTAAGATTTCCGATTTTTTGTCTTCTAAGACCAGCACTTGAAGATCCTTTTTTGACTGAACCAGTCAGTCACAACGTGTAACCTTGTACGTATGCACCTCGGTTCAAGTTGCCATACCACATCAGCACAGAAAAATAAAAAATTGTCAAGCCAAATCCCAGAATAGTACAGGTAGTAGCAGTTTCAGTGTTATTAGGAAAGATGAGGCATCGAAGATACGATTCGAGTAAATATAAATTAGTAAAATAAAAACAAAAAATAGTTGAGTTTAGAATATCAGAATTTGGAGGAAGACGGAGGACGGATGCATCTGCGCCATGGCAAACGATTTTGAACCACGCTATTCAAAGTCCCCAACCACGTATTAACATGGCACAGTTCAGTTATCAGTGTCTTCATGGTTTGGTCACCCCTAACTTTCTTCCAGCCTGCTCCTACACCAGAAAACATTGTCCATCGAGGTAGGCGGGCAACGACAATTACAATGACAGTTCACCATATGCTCTGACTCGGCCAATAGTGTTTGGATAGAGAGCCTGTACAAGGTTAACGTGCTTCTTTGGTACTCCTTTCGATGACAGACTTCCGTAGAACCTCACTGTCAACGGCGTCGAACGCCGCCTTAAGGTAAAGACATACAACCATAGTTGGACGTTAAAAATTATCTATGTTCCAGGACCTGTCAAAAGGTGGATATTTAGTCTATACATCCATATCTGAAACCAGCCTGGTTTCCACGGGTTTGCTCTTCAAGAGATCTGGTTAAGTGTTGAAATATTGTTGAGGTCAATATTTTAGACACCATATTAGTTAAACTGACTTCTCAGTGATTGTCACAAGATTACTGTTCTTTCTCAAAAACTAGGGCGACCAGCGATTGAGACCAGTTGGGTGGGATTACGTCCATTTCCCAGAGTTTAGCCAAGGTCTCAGTCAATCTAACTTCTGAAACTGGACCACCATCCTAAAAACTCCCAGAGGTGAGTACCCCAGGCCCTACCTCTCTTCCTCACTTTAGGCTACGTATATCCTTTTCAACCTTATTCAGAGTTGAAGGACATACATCAATTTGCCATTCAAGCTGTTTGGAGGTAGTGGGTAACTGAATTGCGATTGACGGCCAGTTGAACTCTTCCATAAAGTTTTTCGCCCATCAGTTCAACCTCCTGGACCAAGTGTGAATAATCACATTTTTTTACGAGATAGTTTCACTAACAGCCGGATTCGTAATACCCGTTTACTTTATAAGTCTGAAAAGTTGTCCACTGTTACTTATCGCTGTCGTCTTTTCCATCTACTCACCACTGCCTACATTTAAGGTGCCTCCCCTCCTCACCATATTCGGAGCCCACAAACGCCCTGGTACGGTCGAGGGTGGGGAGAGTCCACCCTTCCTCTCAAAATTCTCTCACACGGGCACGCGTATACAGCCACTGTCAGGGAAGTCCTACTCACTACCATCTCATGGCGAGGGTGTTGTTTACGAAATTGGGAGGAAGAAAAGCGAATGTTCAGTGCTTTAACCGGGTAGATGGACATGGAGAGTCCACCTAGGTGAGTTGAAAATCTCTGATTCCAAACCAATCGAACACATGGGCTCTAGTATCCTTAAGGAACATGTGGAGAATGAACCTATTATTGGTGCCCGGCTACCATGGGACTGCACATCTTACGTTGCTTCACTGTCTTGTGGATCAGACTTTTAAGTCAAAGGCTCGTGGTGTGGCCCCCTAAAGAAACCACCTGCTTCGGTCTCGTCACCCGAGCAGTATCACAGCACACACACAAATCGAATGATTAACGTGGCGCATATCTATTTGGTGCAATATTGTGTTCAATTAAAATAAGCCAGATGGGATGAATTCCCGAGCGGTAATGAGCCAATGAAATCTAATGATTTTACTTACCCTATTGGTTTAATTTACAAATATATATCACCGTTGTTTCCACAGCTTTTTAGATATCAAGCCAAGCCACTTCAGGACGGATATCATTTTTAAGGTTGACTGGCATGTTCTCTGGTCTAATCTAAGGGGTTTACTTGCTATGGCTTTTCTTCTTCCAGTTAGGTGCAGACAAATACGTGCTCGAACTAGAACATGATCCAAGTCCTAAACATATGCTCCAGAATGAACGAGTCTTTAAATGAGCAGCTCAAACAATGGTTGATGGAAACGTGATTTATTTGAAACTATCGCTGAGTTAATTGTGGAGGTCGCCACGTCAGACAATGTTTTTTCTTATGTTTACAGTTGATGTTTGCTAGAAACAGACAATTATCTGATCATGGTTGCACCAGACAGCCACCATTATCCATTTGCTGAGCCGCAACACTGTAAGATCTATCAAAATGTCTTACGATTTGGTTTAGTCTACCTACTTGAGCGTTAAAGTAACTTGTCACCATTAATTAGAGCGTTTAGCTTTTAAAATGGATTTGGATAGCTTCCTATACAAATTATCTTTAGCTTCATCCAAGCTGCAACCAATGGGATCGTATGCAAAGACAACAAAGAGGAAACGGCGTATCCCTATCTTTTCGAGTTTTTACTGTTTTATTTAGTCGGACAGCGCACAAACGACTGTCTATTTGAACCCAGTCTGATAGAAGCTGTTTTACTCTTGAACAATACTACAACCACACCAGTGGGGACCTACAGATACGCGAAGAGTAAATCGTTCCGATTCTTTATATTGACAAGGTGAGGTCAAATGAATGACTGTCATTGGATCCTGTATGTGTGTTTCGGAGACACAGCATTAATCGATGGTGCAATATTCTAGAGTACTGGCTAAAGAAACCTGTTATCCTATCTGACTTAAAGTTCAAAATTTAGAAGCTCCAACATACAGTTTAGAGCGTGGATTCAGGAGACCAAGAATAACATTTCGTGAACTCAAGTAATTAGCATTAGTGGCTTGTAGTGATAAAGATATACGGGAGAATTTAGTTGTGGGGATGGGAGAATTAGTACACGGTGAGTGATAGACTCGATTGTCAACAAGACGATCTCGGGTGCCATTAGAATTATAAGGGCGGTTGTCACTTCCCGGTTTCCCACACAGTAAATATTTTGAGGGACCTGAGAAGGAAAATGAAGTGGTGGTGATCTTAGCGACTCGAGAGCAAGACTGCAGAGCTAAAGAGACAAGTGCATGGGGCCAGTTGCGCATGGCCTTTTTATGGGACGTTTCTGATTCATTAGCTCCACACTTCAAGAAACATTAACACCGAAGTCGGAAGTCCATGGTGTAAGGTGAGGTGTGACATTTTTAGGGTCAACCTTTCTTAACCCCTTCCTTCCGTTGTGAGGTAGTATCTCTACAGATGCTGGTTGTCTAGAGTGAACACCTTACTGCTAGTCACACCCCTAAAGTCAGCAGTAATACTTCGCCCTCGGACCTCAAGTTGCTGTATTTAGTCTTACCGTTCTTGTTGGTATAGTAAGACATAAAGGAGCATGTGTTCCAATCAATATAGCTCAGTTGAGCCATCAAAATAGGCAAGCCCAACCCGCACATGAAGCTAGCAGCTGCGGTTGGTGTTTCGACGACTGAATGAATTAGCTATACCTGTTCTACCCGCTCCTCATAATAACCGTAAAAGTAAAGTAAGACTCTCAAAGCATTTTCCAACTACTATATTCCGAATGATTTTCCAAAGTTGGTGGGCTGTCTCAGAGCCCTTAGGCGCAGCTAATCAGATGGTTAGGAAGCAAATGGGAGGAATAGCATTTGTGTAAAATGCCAAACAGTTGATTTGACTTTGTGCATGTCACATAGCTCTACACATTTTAAAATGCACTGAAATGTTTATTCTTCATACAGTATATGAAAATTTATCTAACGTAAGGCATGGATATATCTGTGGATATCAGTAAAAGGTATAAAAAAACACCCGATCTCTAGTAAAGAGAGACGGTTACTCTGCATCGATCATTAATAGTGTAACTGGACTAGTAACCTTAATGTACCAGATTACTTTATTATCACTGTAATTATCTTTATTTCTAATAATACTCAATTAAGAAATAGCATTGATTTGAAACCCAAAAGTAGAGATACATATTAAAATGCGTATACATAAAGTGCGAACGTACTTTTTCGATAGGTTTCCAAGCAGAATCACCTGTTAAAGACCAAACAATAAGTTGACCAGCAGAGTTAACTGCAGCTAATGAAGTTACTTCCTGGTCAATAGATAAACTATGAATGGGTTCAATTTGGCCATCAATGCATATGGAATTAGCCGCATTGTTGCGAAGGTCCCAAACTATAACTTCTCCTTTACTTGTTCCGATGAGAATTTCATGTTGATTGCGATGAAGCAACATTGTATTAATGCTCGAGGACGTCTACGTAAGAACAAAAAAGAACAGATGATGTTCTGGTTCTGAGTACTGCTAACATGACTTAGATTACTCCCATTATCTAATAAAGTAATACTGATAGTAATAATATCTGAGTTTACACAATCACAATTGTCCGTCAAATATTAGATTACTGAGAAACAAAGAGCGATATGTAAGGGTTGAACAACTTTAAGTATAACAATTTTGAAGTCAAATTATTGTAAGACCTGAGGATGGAATTACATTTATCAAGTTCACACAAACGGCCAATGCACGTCTACATAAAAACTATTTGGATAATCCCTATGGTGAATTAGGAGACGTATACAAATATCTAATAAGAAACTAAAAGTGTTCTGTAGCTATCCACGGCTGATGAACTTCATAACCGTGGCACTTAATCATAGACCACTGATTGTGTATTCTTTATTTTTTATTACAACCTTATGTAAGAAACAGAAACATTGAGAAAAGAGTACGAAATGGCTGTTCCATTCATACTAAAACTCCTCAGTAGTAGATACCAACAGACCAGGATAAGGATTAAATCAATTAGTTACTAAGCTATAAGTTGAAGTTAATAAGTATGCATTATGGGACAACAAAAGTGAAAAGATTAAAAGTAATGTGAGCCAACCTGTTTATAAAATTTTAATCTGTGAAGATTAGTATATACTTACGCCTATTTGTTTAGCCAAGTTTCATGTTCACAGGTTAGTATAATAAAGCGATTAATGATAATAATCACTTTAACGTTTTAGTATTCCATTACTATCTAGTATTTTTTGAACCACTGAATCAATACTCGAAGAAAAAATCAATACAACTCAAAGTCGAAACTTGCGCAAAATTGAGTCGATCCAGGTTGTTACACTCAACAACAATATGAGAGGTGAAATTGAACAACAGTTGGAAGACAATCACACTAAACACGGACACGAAAGGAGGATAAAACCATAGGCTAACCATTGAACTAGGAAAGAGCTTTGTTTTAAATGTAGTGTTAAGTCTGCTTCTCAAAGTCAGAATAACGACTGTTCACCTCCCTAACCGCCAACCTCTGTGCGTTTTGATAAATAGTTTTACAACTAGGTAACTTACGATTACCTGGTAAATACGTGTTATCCACAGATTTCCACCGGCTCGCCAATCTATAATCTTTGCTACACGATCTTCAGCTCCTGCAAACATCCAGTTCCCTGTATCATTAAAGCCAACTGTGTTTACGTTTTTCGTGAAATCTGAAACCATAACGAAGGGTGTTGCGGGACCCTGAACATCATAGATACGAACTCGACCATAACCACCAGCTGCTAGGTACTGTCCGTCGCGGGAAAATTCGAGAGCGTTTACCTAGAGATTTAGGTTTCGAATACATTTAAGTAACTGACCTGTGATTCATTGTGCTGAAAACCTTGGATATATTTTCCAGTGCTCGGTTGCCACATTCGGATAGTATGATCGAAACCTCCAGTTGCTAAGGACAGATTATTATCGTAGTCGTTTTTCATTAGTTGGTGTCTGCATAGGAAAAACGCATCATAGAAACCTCGAAGCAAATTATCCACAGGTTTAGTGAAGAAGTTTACAAATCCACCCACATAAAATACTACAAAGGGATTAGGTACGATTAATTTGCTTAAAAATATTTAATTCGGTATCCGATATTTTTGTTACAAGTTGGCAGGAACCAGTCATTTTGTGCTAAAGAAGTAATCTAGAAAACGGTTCAAGACATATCACAAGGAGGTATTTAGCTAAACCAACCAACTGTAGCAACCGTAGTGGTTTCAGTAGGTAGTTGAATTTCGGTTTATTTTGAGGGGAAATGGGTTTGTCCTAGGGAAATATTATTGTCGAAACCACATGATATCATTAATCCGCGCTTGGTGCTCTGTTTATATATTCAGACACTTTCTAAACTCTATAGTATTTATTCAGTATTGCATCACGATATTCTAATATCGTGATGATGGGGAGAAACTATTTAGATCACCTCGGTCAGACATAAGCAACGTAAAAACCGGAACATGCGTACTGGTTCAACTTACCAAACTATATCAGCACAGAGGTGAAATTATCAACACAGAGCCAGTGTAGTGGTAATAGTAACAGTATTGATGGGAGAAAATACTGGGTGTAGATAATGAGTACATAATAAACTCGTGAAATAAAAAGTATGGGAATATTTCAAAATACAAAGGAGATGAATCTGGGCCAGAGATCGATTCTGAACAATGCTACCTACAGACTCTAACCATTGTTTACGACTATCGTTCGAAATCTAACTGAATTCTGCAGTCAGTAACTTTGTGGACTGATCTTACGCATTGTGTTAATCTATTTGAGTACGAGGCAAATGGTACTGGGATGTATTGAGGATTTTTCAGGCCAGACAGCTTGGACTGAACTGAGTCCATCTATCTTCATTCTTCAGTAATGAGAATGGTAGGTCGGTGTACCTGTGTTAATCTATACAGATTTTCTCGTGAAGGCCCAGTTCCTCCTTGAAAATGTTCACAGATAGGGCTGATAGTTGTTTGGGTAAAACATTCTGGTCATTGACCACTCTTTGGGAAAAAATGAACCCCACTTTGAGTTTATTAGATCGGGGTTTTTGAACTTTTTTACTATGGTCTCGATTATTAGTGCTGGAGGGAGTAAAAAGATGAGATATTAACACCCAGATCGTAATCAAAGTTACGGAATAGCAAAATAATGTCATCTCGCGTCCTACAATACGATAAGAAGGAAAGGCTTGGCATTTTAAGTGCCCATCGTAAGGGGGTTAACAGATAATCATTAATTGACTTCCCACACCCTGAACATGCCCAATATCCTTAATAAGACATGAACCAACTACTTGAACACAGTACTCAAGTGTCGTCTTACGTAGGTGGTATATAGAATTCGAAACATATCTTCGGCAAAGCATTTGAATGCTTGGTGAAGTAACCATAACGCACAAAACCTTTGGGCAGCTACTCTACATCTACGTATGCTCGCTTTTAAACCAAAAACTTACTAATGCATTTTTAAGTCGACGACATCCTATACTTCATAATTACCATAGCGATACCGGGAAGTTCTTGCCATTGACGTTGCGGTACGTATTTAGCCAGAAGGTGCTACGTGTACTAATGGAGCATGCAAAGTAGCGAAAGTGACGAAGGCTGGAAAAGAAAAAGCAAATAGACGACCTAGTAGGGGCATGCGTTGGACTTACTTGCGTCAAGGAAAGCAATCAACAACAATTAGAAGGAACACAAGCCTAAAATCACTATAATCTTGGGATAGAAACTAGACGTAGGTAGTGTGTTGAGCGATCGTGTTGCCAATATTAGTCGTTTAACCCGCTAGGTCAGAGGACTTTTTCAAGGTCAGATTCAAATTCACACACAGATTTGTTTGGTAAGGAGAGAAAGACTACTGCCTATGTTATTCTTTTGCCTGTGGGCCTTCGTGAGTGTCTAGTCTTCTCTTTTTAATGAGTGAATTGATGGTGAGGACAGCACTATTTTATGTAATAAATTGCCAGAATTGGTGATAATCGTTGTGAAAACCTGTATGCCATAGGTATTTTGTTCGTCCATGGGTTTTCTACTCGTCTGATATGTTCCCTGTGATGTCCTGATCTAGTGGAAAAAAGAGAGGATATGTTAGACCCGAAATCATTTCTTAGTATCCCATACATCCAAATCAGATCAACTCAATCTGCGGTAGGACAGATTAGGGACGTTTAGTTTTCAAACGACTTTGTATGGTAAATCCAGGAGTTCTGAAATTACACAGGTAGTTGCCGTCTGTACATTTTCCAGGATACACGAGTCAGCTTTCATGCAGGGATTCGCAGTCTGAACGCAGTTCACACGCTTAGTTCTCACCGAGGTTGTGTACATTGTATTGAACATGGTAGTATCTTACTTGGTGAATGTCTGTCTTAAAGCCCATAGGGTTCTAGACCCCTTAGGTGCGACCTCCCGGCATTGACGTGTGGTCTTAAGATTATGGCTCACTGTCACCTCAAGGTCCTTGTGAGGCCGGAACATGGGCACAGGCACTTCTCCAATGCTATACCTATTTATCTTTGCATCGACAAAGTGCATGTAGACACACTTTGCCGCTTCGATTGGCGTCGACTACTCCTTATATCAGCTAATCACAATATTTAAGCCTTCGTGGAATACACATGCATCTGCGTCTCTCGTTTTTTCTCGCCAGATTTCTACATCATCAGAGTATACTAATATCAATGACTCAACTATATTTGGGAGATCATTTACATACAGCAGAAAAAGTAAAGTATCTAGAACAGAACCTTGAAGTACTCCACTGAGTACTAGTTGGCAGGTGGAGCGCTTGGAATTTACTCCTAGTTTATGTCCACAATCTACCAGTAAATATCTAGGCCATTTTAAGAGGGATCCGGCAATACATAGATCTTTCAGCTTCAAAAGTAGTCTGTTTTAGCACCACATCAAATACTTTGCTGAAGTCTATGTAGACATCATCCGCTGATTTTCCATTGTCTACAGCCCTTATCCATCGCTCCTTTGATACAAGGAGGTTTGTTGTGCAAGATAAACTTTTTCTGAAGCGACGTTGTTCACTGTTTAACAAGTTGTTAGTCTCCACAAATGTCATTATGGTCTGTTTGACTACTTTTCCAGTATTTTAACTACGACACTGGTGAGGCTGATAGGTCTGTAGTTCGATGGAAGTTGTCTTGGTCTTGTTTTATTTATGGGCGCGACAATTGCATCCTCCCAGTCCGTAGGTGACTAACCTTCGTTAAGTGACATATTGAATATCACAGACAGTGGGGCTGCAATATATTGTGCAATGTCTCAAAGTTTTGATGTGTAGTCCATCGCATCCTGTCGAATTGCACGTGTCTAAATTACCAAAAGCTCTTAATTCATCGTCTCAAATGAATTTTTTTAAGTGAAGTCATCAGCTTTATGAGGGATAAGTTCAAGAGTAACGGGGAGCTTTTTCTGTCATATCTGAAAGTGTCTTCCAGCGTCTTTTTCACGGGCGTACATAAACCCACTTATTTCTTCGCTCTTGCCTCTTGTACTTCCGGGATTGTTATACGAAATTAAGAGTGTCCGACGGACGGTAGTTAAGCCACTCGACTTTATTAATTCTAGTCAGCTTGATATTTATTTTCTCTTCAACAGTAAGAATATGTTTATCAACCTATATTAATGCTTGCTGTTTGTAACACTGTGGAGGTCCAATCTCGTTTGGAATATATATCATTAGTAGGTGATGATGTTACTTGTTCTGGTAGAGAATTCCAGTAATTCACTACTCGGTACGAGAAACGAAACTCTAGATTTAGACGATTTGATCTCGGTTTTTGAACTTTCTTTGAATGTCCTCGCAAACGATCGGTCCTAGACGGAAGGAAAAGATAAGACATATTAATACCAAGGTCATCGTTCAGTACACGATAAGCCAATATCAGATCATCCCGCATTCTACGGTAAGATAGCTGAAATAAATTAAGGTGTCTCAGCCTGTTTTCATAAGATATTCCAGATAGACCTTGTACCATCTTAGTCCCTCGTTCCAGCACATCTGCTTCATACTTGAAACAAGGAATCGTTACTTGAATCCTATGTTTCAAATGTGGTCGCACGGAAGTCGGGTATAATAATCTAAACAGTTCGTCATCTAAATACTGGAAAGACCTACGAATAAACCTTAATACCTTTTAGCCTTTTGCAGCAACAGCCTTGCAGTGACTGGTGGTTTTGCGATCACTGCTTAGTATGACTCTCAAATCTTTATAGTTTATGACTTTGGGTAGCACGAATCCACATATTGTATAGTGGTGTGATGTATCATAATTATTTAATTGCATCTCCACACTCTTGTCAGGATTTACTTATGGTGACCACCTGACCATCCATGCCACTAATGAGCTAAGATCGTCCTATCTGACATACTGTGTATGGGACTCCATATCTTTGTGTCATCGAAAAACAGTAAAACGGATGACTGCTGCAGTTGTCAACTGGTCTACGAAAAGTAAAAAAGAAGAGGACCGAGGATTGAACCTTGGGTAACTCCACTTTTCAGAAGTCCCCACGAGGAGAGAACTCTTTTAATCCTTACCCTTTGAATCCTGCCATGGAGAAAGTCACTTATCCAGTCTATGACCTCATAATGGATTCGAAACTTTCCAGTTTGAATTTAAGATCCGAATGCGGGACCTTATCAAAGGCTTTACTTAGATCTTTGAAAATCACATCTACAGGAATATTCCGATCTTTTGCCGAAGCCCAATCTTCTCTTAAAATGAGAATATTTGTCAAAAATGATAGGCCTCTCCGAAAACCATGTTGTTCTCTGTATAAAAGATTATGCCCTTCCACATATTTTATAACAGTCATCCGAATACTCGTTTCCATTAGTCTTACAACTGTACTGGATAGACTAACGGGTCTGTAGTGACTAACCAAGTCTCTGCTCTCAGTCTCATACACCGGACTTATTATCGTGTCTTCCCAGTCTCTGGGCAGTCTGGTCTGCCTCAGAAAGTTATTAAACAGTATCTTTAAAGGTTAAACAATTACATCTGATAGAGCTTTCATATCATCAGGACCACTGGACTTATCAGGTTTTAGATGCTGAAGTATTCTTAAGATGGTACCTTCCTCAATAACTACAGGGTCTATCACCAAGCCGCCATAATCACAATTAATCGTTGGTCGTTCCTCATCGCTGATAGAAAACACTTTACTGAAATATTCTGATAAGTCTTCAGTTTTTTCGGTATCATTTCTTGCCAGTATTAACGGATTTTCGTGTGGTGGAATTCCATCACTTCCCTGAGTCTGCCTTTTCTTATACGAGGACAACCGTGTCGGGCAGTTTTCAAAATCCCTAAAGGAGGGAGGGTGGAGTTACTGACCAGCAAGCATTGATGGTGAGGGCGATAACTTCAATCCACCCGTGTTTGTGGGGACAGAACATTTTGTATGTATCAGGCTCTTTATAATTGAGAATAAGACAGTCAATCTAAGATATAGATTGTCTTCCTACGCTCACCACTCACACTCGTGTTTCCAATTTTATGCTGGATTAGCTATTCTACTGAGACAACCTATAACATGCCAACTCGAACGTTTACACCAGAATTATGTGGCTGGCATCGGACAGACATAAAAAAGAAAAAAAATAGACAACAAAAGATATAGTCATTAGTATTCTTAACACTTCACCCTCTATATACACACCCTTCTAATAAACCGCTTCCCTTGTACCAACCTTGACTTCCCTTCCTTCATGTGAGCTTACTCCAACTTGTTAAACATCACTACTCGTTGTTCTTTTTTAGTACATTCTCTAATATGGAGCCTCTGACTTCACTTCACTCTAACAAGACATAATATGAATTTATTCTAATTTATTATACCTCTGTCCGTTCTACTACACAATGTTAAGCAACCTTTGGCGTTCATATCCAAGTGCCTTGCTGCTCCTCTGTTTCTTTTTTTTTCTCCTTCAGAATCTTGCTCTGAGAGCACAGCTATGAAACTTCTGACGTTTGGAGCAAACTTAACGTACGCGTCCTCTCAAGGTCATAGTTTACAGCAAGCGCTCTACGATTTCACTTTATAGCAACTATAAACTTAGTAAGTTGGGAAGCATTTTGCGAACCAACAAATGTTGTAATTTATAGATCATGCCTGTAAAAACGGTGTGTACATGCACATGCAGAAATATATTATTATTATTATTATTGTTTTTCATACGACTGTCTACTCTTATTAACGCTTTACAAGCATTCCTAGTCTTACAATAACTGGAACTGTACTGTTCTAAGCCAGTAGAGATGAACATATTCTAATACTTTTTCATACGTCTAAGAAGTTTCTTGACTTATTAAGTTATCCATGGTGGGCAGTAATTCGGTCTAGGCGGTACACTTAAGAGACTTTGAGAATGTTTACGTACATTCTACGGTCAAATGAGGGTTAAAAATCAGTGTGAGGAATTAGGATTAATATTTACAGTCGATAGTTAAGGTTAGG